GTGACAGTAGCTGCACAGTAATACTGATCTAGGACTCTAGTTCAGTGCATACGTTTTGTATGTAGAGAGAGGTAGAATATAGTGATCTACATCCCACGTAGACATTACCCAGACGTGCTCTGCCCCCACAGTTACATCAATCTGGTATACAGCAGTATAGCTGATCCTGTATTCACGTGTTATAGCTGATCCTGTATTCACGTGTTATAGCTGATCCTGTATTCACGTGTTATAGCTGATCCTGTATTCACGTGTTATAGCTGATCATGTATTCACGTGTTATAGCTGATCCTGTATTCACGTGTTATAGCTGATCCTGTATTCACGTGTTATAGCTGATCCTGTATTCACGTGTTATAGCTGATCCTGTATTCACGTGTTATAGCAGCTGATCCTGTATTTCACGTGTTATAAGCTGAATCCTGTATTCCACTGTTATAGGCTGATCCTGTATTCACGTGTTATAGGCTGATCCTGCTTATTCAGCGGGGGTGGGACGGCGAGGCGTGTTTATAGCTGATCCTGTATTCACCTTGTTTACTAGCTGATCCTGTATTCACATGTGTATAGCTGATCCTGTATTCACGTGTTGTAAGCTGATCCCTGTATTACGGTTATTAGCTGATCCTGTTAATCTCACGTTTATACTTATCTTGTATTAACACGTGTTATAGCATGATCCTGTATTCACGTGTTATAGCTGATCCTGTATTCACGTGTTATAGCTGATCCTGTATTCACGTGTTTATAGTACCAGCACGAGGTTGACAGAATCAAGGAGGCTGTGAGACAGCGAAACCTCGCTCGTCGCGGTCACGGAGCCCAGGTCGCAAAACCCATCAGAGGTCATGGAGGTCACCAGGCACAGGCGGCGCCACAGGGCATCCGCGGCGGAGGCGCGGTGAACGGCTCCACCCCGCTACCTCAGAAAGTGTAAGCTTGTTGGGTATTGTAGTAGCTAGTTGTCATGGTGACGTGTCGTCACAGGACTAATCTCTGCATTCATGGGACTGTTAGCTGTACTAGAAAGGTGAAATTTTCATGCAACTAATATAGAGCAAAGTGCAAGCAGAAGAAACTACGACTAAACAGCCAGAGAAGTAAGCTTTTGGAAATCATAAAGCATGCGAAAAGTTCATCAACAGAGAAGAATATCTTAGGAAACTAAAAATCAAAGAGTGTTTTCGTGTGCAGAAGCAAACGTGTGAAAACTACGATGCAGAATGGTATAATAGAGAAAGAAGTGGTTTGTGGTTGTTGTGGAAAGAAGACGAGATCACTTAACTCAAAGTTAGAACACGCTTAGTTAGTAGGTGAAGAAACACGTATATGCATACGCACGCACGCACGCACGCACGCACTCACGCACGCATCGCACGCCCGCACGCACGCACGCACGCACGCACTCATGCACGCATCACATGCACGCACACATGTCAATGCAATTTCAGCACACAGCCCCTACCGGCGCAGTGCAGGTATGTTTGCTACACATACATATATATATACCCAGCGTGATGAATGACACATTCAAGAGATCGAGCTGGGCTTACAGATAAACCTACTAGAGAGGCTAACTAGTGGATAAAACCTACTAGAGAGGCTAACTAGTGGGTAAGGCCTACTAGAGGGGCTAACTAGTGGGTAAGACCTACTAGAGAGGCTAACTAGTGGGTAAGACCTACTAGAGGGGCTAACTAGTGGGTAAGGCCTACTAGAGGGGCTAACTATAGTGGGT